CTAGTACTTGGACCCTTTGGGAATGTTAGGGCTGAGACAGTTCAATAGGCCTGCCGTAAGGATGCGTAGGGTGCCTTGTTTATGCGGGATTTATGGTGCTTTGGCTGTACGGAGGTCTTTAACTCTAGCTCGTTACTTAAAAGTGCCTGTTTTTGTCAGGGTCCGTAAAGGGGGTTCTAGATTCCAATAGCCACCCATGAAGCATTAAGCACATTTTTAAGGGTGCATGTACCCACATATAATATATATATATATATGTATGGCCTTAAAGGGACTACGTTCAGGCCAAAGTCTATTCTATATGAACACATAGAGCCCTGGTATTGGCTCAATACCTTCTAGCTGCCATAACAAAGAGCGCTGGAGTTCTGGTGTGTCTCGGACGTTTGGACTAGGTCTGCTGGCGGTTCAGGGCCTGGGGCTATAAGGCCTTAGGGATTAGGGCCGATTACCCTGTACAACCGACTTCTAGGGTTTCAGGGTCCTCAAGCGCTCTGATATGAAGACCTAGAGAGTCGCAATCCCGCCCTGCCCTAACACCTTAGAGCCCCAGAATCCCACAATGCCCCATGCCCTTGCGCCCTATCCGAAACAGGGGTGCATGGCTCCCTGAAAGCTAAGACGTAAACAGGTCTTCGTGTTCACAGAACCGGCCGCAGGCGATCATGACGGTGGAGAAACAGATTCTCAAGGAGCCAGCCGTCCTTGCGAAATCTGTGGCGTCAATGTTCAAAACAGGGTATACACCTAGCTTGGGAGCCACAGTATCCTGCAAGTGCCCTAAACCCTACAATGCCAAATCCTACAACCCAAGACACTGCAACCCTAAATCTCTCAAGCCCTGGCAGACAACCAAAGAGCCGAAACCCCTGAACCTTCGCACATCTCAGCGTGCAAACCCCAAACACCCTGTTCACCCTTAGGCTCCTTCGCCCTTACGTAGAATCCTGGACCCTCAACCCTTATGCTTTCGCTCGAATGGCCTACCTGGACCCTCAAGAACCTA